TAATGTTAATCTGTGAGAATGTGCACACAACAGTTAATGCAACACACCAGCCAGCGCCTGGCTCACAGATTCGTTCCTGTGAGACATGTAACTTTGGTCAGTCATATGGTTGGTGCTTTTGTGCACTTGTGTGGATAAAACCTATGGGTCAAAAACGTTTCGGATGCGTATAACGAGGGGCACACAGTTTAGACTCATGGCTATGGCATTCGAGTTAGTGAATAGTGGCCACAAAATATATACTCAGGCGCAGTAATGGCAGAAGCAGCAACAGTCTGTGTGAGCAATAAACAGAACAAAGAGGGAAGGGGTGGGGGGGGGGGGGAATAAATATTTTCAAGAGCAAATCATGCCATGAGTGAAACCATTGCAGTTTAAACTGTGGAATCTGGATTTCTTTGGAATCTGGCCTGACCCATTTGTATTCATTTGAGGTTGGGGCTGTGAAATGGTCTGCTTGCTCAGTAACACCCCCCCCCCCCCCCCCCCCACTCCCTTCTGAAACCCAAATGTGAAGGAAAATAAATACACAGATACAAAGAGAAATGGTAGACAGGCATTATAGAGGCGCACTTCATTCGAATGGTGAAATATGTAATTGTAGGACTCAACCTGACAACACGTCCCAGTGTTAAAAGTGATTTCGCTTTTCTATGACAAGTGCAACTTGTCATCTTAAGGGTTTAGTGCGCGAATCGCAATAGTCTGGGTGGCACTGTGGTTGCAACCAGCTTTCTTGCATTTAGATTTAACCCTTTTAAATCTATTTTGCGAAAATTGAAAGGGAAGCGGGGTTGAAATTAAAACATAGTTTGCAAGGCTTTACTGTTTGGGATATCAAAATATACGAAGAGTAGTCCACTCTTTATCACAACAAACGTCATCGTGCGAATGGGCATCTTCCCATCTCACTGCGTTATGTTTGGAAGCAAAATGCAGAGTGACTTGTTTGATGAGTTGCTAACTTTTGCAGTCGATCTGTGTGTCTGCGTTACTTTTCTGCAACAAAACCTGGTCAATTAAGGTCACTGTGAAGATAGAATGCAGCTGCTTTTTTTTTTCAAGCCGTTGGTCTGTCAATGAAGGTTTGGATCTCAATCCTTCAAGTATTGTTGGGAGTGACGTTAGTGGGTCACCGTCCACACGCTTCAGTGTACGTGTCATTCATGTGTGATCCTAAGGGCAGCAACTGCAGCTAAAAGTGTCAAGCAAGTGTGTGGACACATCTCTCATAAGGCGACTGACTTCTGTTGCCCATAAATCACCCCTTCCTTGGCATCAGGGACACAGTAAACCAACTCTTTCTTCACGTTGGCAGAGGTAAAATAGAAGGATCGGCCACCCCGGACTCCTTTATTTCACCTCCTTGTTACCAACTCCAGAGCAGCCTTTTTTTTTTGTCAGAACAAAGAGATCATCGCCCAATCCTCCAGGTCAGGAGAGGAGGGAGAGAAACCTGCAGAGAGGGAAACATGTAAAACTTGAGCAAACACGTGCAAATCGTTCCAAATAATTACACGCGGAGTAAAATAAAAAGGGTCAAGAAAAGGAAGCGGAGTGGATTATAAAATAAGACAGAAATGCCTGATATCATTCAGTACAATGTCCTATTTATTATAACGTGTGTACGTGTATATATATACCATTCATCTGGCCCAGCCTGAGCTCGTTTTAGATCATGACAGATCTGTATATTTTAGTCCCACTTCTCTGCTCTTTCTCCATATCGCTTCACACTCTTACCTCCCAAGTATCTGGTTATCTCCCATTTTATTTAACTCTCTTCAAACACCCCCACCCCTGTTTAATTCTGAATGCATAATCCTCCAAGGCAGTGCATTCCCCAATCCGGTAACCCTTTGTGTGAGAATTTGTTGTTGATTTAACTTTTAAGAATAGGGTAAGAGTATTTGCCTATCTACCTCTGTGGATTCCCAACATCAGGTTAAACTCCAAAATCAAATCACCCTTAACCTTCCAGGGAATATTACCAAGTTTACCTATCCTCTCAACCCAGGTATCATTCTGTGATCCATCTCTCGCTGTCATTTATTCATTGGAGCACCATTATAGCGTTTGGATACAGGGTTAGGATGATAAAGTCAGATGTACAACAGGTTCAGTTACAGCGTGTGCACTTATTTGATAGGATGTGAAGTAGCCAGGAATTACAAATAGGCACTTTTGAAAGTCAATCGTGTCTGAAATGGCCCGCAGACAGCGGAGGGGATAAACTAAATTGATAAATACTGTTGTGCCATATAAGTCCACCCATAATGGGTGGTTCCACTGAATTTATTTGGCAAGAATATCTGTCCCGCAAGTTTGGGATGGATTATCTCTTCCCCTTCGCCCGTTTCCTTGTGCTTTGATGGGTTAAATAACCACCCCACAGAATCTACTGGTAGGTTAGGGTTAAGAATGGGTTTAGACATCCCTTCGCTATCTACTGACTAACTTGTAAATTGGTATCGCATTCTGATGTCCAAAATAGGTTCAGATCTCTAAACAGTCCTCCTTAATGTCGCAGTCTTCTCTCTCTAGCATTTGAGCCAAGTGACTTGGTTGGCCTATTTGCTCGCTGCTTCCCGGAATAATGTTTAGTCCACTCGGAAATGCAGTTTCCACTTGGATTAACGTGACTCCGCTCTTCCTGAATGACCCGCCTCTGCTATATATGCACAATATACATTCTTGCTTCAGCGCACAGGTTCATCCCAATCCACCGTCTGTGAAGCTGGGGGTGAAGGGCACCTTGAGAGGAGGGGGAGAAAAGGGTCAGCAGCTCAGCCTTCACCGCAGGGGAGATACCCACGCGTGACCGTGGTCGCCTTGCAGATCACAAGCAATAAAAGCAACACACAAAAAAAAAACATTGCCTGAGTGTGGCAACACACAACTACTGGCAACAGGTCCCCAGTACCTTTTGTAAGCGTGAGCATTGTAGATCCCAGCGTGAAGGTCTCTAAGGAGGGTTGGTAAGACATCATCTGGTGCAATATTCCACTTATGCATTATCCACGTGGGATTGGGAATGCAATGGTGAAGCTGCTGACTGCGTGTGGAGAGGTATGAGTAAATACATATCTATTTACTCTTATGCACGTACCTTATGCTCGTGCTTGTAAATTGGTTTTACATTTTAAGGTGCGGGACTGAGGGTATTTCAGTGATACCTGGATTGAGCCGGTGGACCAGCGGGTAAATTGGGAGGGGGAGAGGGCATATCTGCGCCCACATCCCCTTCAACCAAGTGGGGCTCCTAAGTGGACCTGACAGCTTCGCGGCTGAATGATGGTATTAATAACGTACGAGTGCAGCTGTGGAACCACATTAAAAATAACAACTGATGAAAATTTACGAGTTATTTTAAACCTGACCTATATTCATTGTTGATTTTGACGTGCTTTAGACACTCATGATTACCCAAAGCCTGAAAGGTTACAGGGCAACTGCAGAACTCCAATGGTGACCGTAATACGCTTTGCATTTTAGTCCTCAAAACTAAGCTATCGAAGGCCAACGTGCGTGACATTTCAAACGAATTGCATTTCATTGAATATTACCTGTTTTCTGGTCGGGTTACTTTATACGTGGACAGCTGAACAGTGCTTGGCGTCCAGAGAGGCAGTCCACCCGTTCCCCCGTTTGACTCTGTGCTTATTACGGAAATATTTGGCATAAGGCTCCCACAGTTTATCCAGAAAAATGTAAGGTGTATTGTATTTCAGAGCTAATTGAATGCATTCGACGTAAATTTTATTTAGGCTTCAAGATGATGTGTTTCCTCAACCCATATGCGGTTACAGACACGGTAGAGTAAACTTGCACAACCAATTGCTAAGATTAAACCCAGCCTAGCTTTATATAACTTATATTGAATAATTAACAAGCCGAATTTCAACCAGTTCAAATTGAATTGGGAGCGTGTATTTGCTTCGTCCACAAAACATACAGTCCATTAACTCTACAATATATACTATTCTGTGAAGCGCTTTGAGACGTCTCACCGACGTGACAAGGCGCTACATGAAATGCAAGTATTATTATTATTTATTGATTATTCCTGCTGTCGCCAATTGTCTCTCCTCAACCTGCGTTGTACTTTATTTGGTACAACTGCACAGTTCACTTAGGAACACTTTAGACACTATTTGCTCATGAAGCACACGGGATAATGAGATCGGCAGCGGACAATTAATATTTATATCACAAATGCCCTGTTTTCTTTTTCTCCCTGTGCTATATAATCCTCTTTGTATTAAACTGCATATGCATTTCAAAGCATCGTCGGCAAACATTGCATGCGAATTTATAAACACTTCACGTGTGATAGAAAAAAAACCACATATCAGAGGAATGATCACAGAAAGGTAAGGGGATGCGATTGCCAGTTGAAATTCTAGCACGGAGCATTGAGTTTTGAAATAAGGTTTGGCTTGTTAATGATCCCCCATGAGGTCAGATCGCTTTACAGCTTTAAGTCTCTTACCGCTGGAATAGCTGCCCCTGTGCATTAGTGTTACCTGGGAACGGCTGCTGCTCTCTGGATCCTCCCCATCATCCTGAGACATTTACTCATGTGACACGACATCTGCTTGGAGAAAACAGGCGCGTTGAAAGCACTTTCTCTCTGCTTAGGCAACCAGAGCAGAGCCCTCCCAGTCAGACTCCAGCACCACTCGCTCACACTCAGAGAGGCACCGGCGTGAGACATCAATACAAAGGAATGGGGGGCTCAGATCCATGTGTCCTGTTGGCTTAACTTGTGATCAACTTTCCAGTCTTTGGCGTGTAAATTCACCTAAAGAGCTATGATCACTGCTGTTTGGCCAAAGTGTGCAAGGCAACACGAGAGATCGGGTGCCTGGGGCTGATCTATTGATATATATATGTGTATGTGTGTATATATATATTTATATATATTACATATATACTATAGTTTTCCTACTGTTTACCGGTTTTGATGGCTAAGGCTGTTATTGTCAACACGAGAAAAGATGCCTGTAATGAAAGGATTGCTTGCGCCTCAGAACACCTTTTTGGATACAATTGCAACACGGTTCGACGGAACTCGTAAGTACTTTCCTTCCACTTGTTTAGTGATTTCTTTGTGTGTGTGTGTGTGTGTGTGTGTGTATGTGTGTGTGCTGAAAGGGAGAGAGAGAGACGCTCGTACAGATTGCATATATTATATATCAGAGAATGAACGTGTATTTCTAGGAGTGTTTCCAGGAGTTGTATATATTACTGGCAGAAATTTATTCCCCAATCCTTGTAGTCTCGATGGTTGCAACGGTAAGAATCTTGTGTGTGTGTGTGTGTGTGAGTCTGTGTGTTTTGGGGGTGTCTTCTGATACATGCAGCACATTTTCAGATTCAGTTACTAACACATATGGTACTGATCAATCGCTGGAATGGTAATGACAATGGTAACATTCACTACACTGAACAAGAGAAGGTACCTGGGAGGGACTATTTTGCTGACTGAATACCACAGAGGAGCACTGGTCCCACACACTGTGTGCGATGTGCAACATATCACAATAACAGTGTGGTCTTTCAGTTCAGGGTTTGCACACACAGTGGAGAGTCTTCAGATCTCCAGCATTAACTGATCTCAACTTCTTGCAATTCCCCCACAATTGGGACCCATGCTTCGAGGTGAAATGGAGCCGGTTGGAAATTAATCAGTCCTATTTTTTTTTTTTGTGTGTGTGTGTGTGTGTGTGTGTGTGTGTGTCTTGTTTAATAATTTAACAGTCATTCACGATGGCGATGTTAGATTTCCCCGGGGATCACTCGCCATCGCTTGCTTTCAGCACCGTGGCCAGCGCTCAGCGAGTGTGGAGGATCCTCGCAAACAAGAGGCTGACACAGACAGAGCAGAGAGCAAAGCCCTTCCTCCACCTGCTCTCCCCATCACTCTGATCGCAAGGAAACCGCTGACTTAGCTCACACTGGCTCTATCATCCACTTCCTACTCGATCAGCAGTACAACTCCCTTTTGATTTTTTTTTCTTTTCTTTTTATACATAACACCAATTCACTCACCATTTGATACCTTGCATCTGTTTTAAGAGGCAACAAAATATGGCAGGCAGGCTTTTTTTTTTCGAGATCATTTGGCTCACGTTATCCGGACAAGCAGGACATTACTCTGGACCACTCTATGAAAATACCAGTCCAGGTGTAAGGTACCGGGTTTAGATAGTCTTTACCAAACCGCCTTCCTCAGAAGTGCAGAATGTTTTATGATTTTTATGATTTGGGTTTCCTGGTTTGCTTGTTTCGGGGGAATGGTTCGCACACAGGTAGGGAATATTTTAAAGCTTTGGAACATAAACAGAATGAGCTTTCAAAGTGTAGAATTGGTCGTAGAAGACGACTCTGAGACGAGAGCTCAGTCTAACTGCTACAGTGATTCAAAGGGAGCAAAAGGCTCAATACTCATCAAACATGTTGAACAATGCTCTGTGCATCTCAGTCTGGTGCCGATGGTAAATACTTACCATCAGGGTGGATTTTACTGATGCAAATCGGAAACGTTGATAATTGCACACTACAACCCCTAGTCATTGGTAACTGCACAGCACAAGTCGCCATCGGAAGAGCGTTGGGTTTATTGGAAAGGGCAAGAGATATTTAGAGATTTTTCACACCAACTCAAACTCACCGTGATCGCAGTTGCTCAATTATAAATATCAATTAACCGACATAGCATGCACTTCTGCTGTTCCAGTCATAACTCACTGAATCAAAACTAAGGCGAAAGGTTCCTAACGTGCTAGGAGACAACGCACACGTGCGCAGTCTTTGTTGTGTTTGGGAAATGTTTATGAATAATTTGTTAACCATTCTAAATCACGATCAGAATAAACCAATTGTTTTTGTAGTGGACTTTTTAATAAAGCACTCGAACAAACAAAAGAGTACAGCTAAATAGTTTGGTACAATTGGGTGGGGTGTAAGTGGATTAAATGGGTTTGGTGATAAAGGCGCACAACTACTGGGTGAAGATGAAAACCTATCCTGTGCGCAACTGGCTTACTCATTTCACCCACAAAGTACACAGTCACTTCACTTTACAGTATATTCTGTGAAGTGCTTTGAGACATCCCCACGATGTGATAAGGCACTACAAGGATCATTGTTTATATTACATGTGTAGAGAGCTTTGGGGTTTTCCATTTGGAGAGTGGAAGACAACATATCCATATTTCTCGTGCTGAGTGTTTTGTCTCCACAAAGGCGAAATAAAAACAACTTGCATTTGAATATGTTTTAGGAGGTATTTGAAGGAGGGCAGAGAGGTAGAAAGGAAAAGTGATTTGGAGAATGAGTTCCAGAGAACAAGTGCATAGTGGCTGAGAGCTTGGGGAGCGAAGGGAGTAAGGAGCAGTAAAACAAGTCAGAAGGGTAGAGAGTACAGGCTGGAAAGTAGGCTGGAGAAAGTAGCACAAGTAGGGTGGGGTGAGATTTTTTGGCAAGTTGAGGGTAACAATGAAATCTTTGAATAAACAACCAGTTTATTGGACTTGGACAGTGTGTTAAGCAAATAAACCTCTTGTGATGAAAAAAGAGCCGTTGTTTTATAACTAGCTAGAATGTAGCTGGCCAACGAATCTAGTATTATATTAATCAGTATCGATGAGCGTAAATGTAAAATGGAATTTTAACTTTGCTGTGTATATTTATGTTGCATTTGAAGAAAGTGTCAGTTAGAGCAAAGACAGAATTGGGCTTTCATTCACATTTGTTCTGCACCTTAGTGATTAGAGCAAGTGAGAGGACCTGGGTTCAATTCCCAGCAGGGCAACATCTTAGGTAAGTTTCCTTACTCCACACACCACTGTTTACCCAGCAGTAAATAGTAACCCAGTTGTTAGTCGATTGGCAGATTGCTTTCTGGCGGTAATAATCCTTTAAAAAATAATAATTGTTATAATAATAATTTGGTCACTCAATCCATGACTGTTTGTGAAACACTGCTATGGGCAATTGGCTGCCATATTTTGCCCACAAAATATAAAATAAATTTACTTTACAGTATATACAGTATAGGAGTCCTGTAGCTCAGTGGTTAAGAGCATTTGCCTCGCAAACAAGAGACCTGGGTTTGATTCCCGGCAGGGTGAAATGTTGGGCAAGTTTCCTTACTCCTCTGTTTACCCAGCAATAAATAGGAACCCAGTTGTTTGTCAATTGACAGATTGCTTTTCTGGCAGTAATAATTCCTTCAAAAAAATAATAATAAATTGATCACTCAATCCACGACTGTTTGTGGAACACTGCTGTGCACAATTGGCAGCTGCGTTTTGCCCACAAAATATAGTCAATTCACTTTACAGAATATTCTGCGAAGCACTTTGAGACATCTCAAAGACATGATAAGGCGCTATAAGAAATGCAAGGATAATTATTATATTCTGTGAAGCACTTTGCGATGTCTCAACGATGTGATAAGGCGCTATTTCAAATGCAAGTATTATTATTATTCTTCCACAGTGCATACATTCTGACCTCAGTGAACAAATTGTACTCCACCAATGCACAACCATTAATTTTGAAACAACCAAACCTGTGTCTTCTCTAATGGATGCTGCAGAATTGATATCAATTGGGCAAATTGAACATGAAAACTCGTATCTACTGGGAGCTGAACACCACGGCTAAAACAGATTTCAATCTGCCTTGTTACAAATGTTAGTATGGAGTGGACATTCATTGTGTCTCTTTTGTTTTAACTCAAACCACGTCCCAAAGATTAAGGAACAATCTTCTAAAATGCTGCACTATTCTATACCTTAAGGGTTGTCAGTAATAAATTAAAAACTACTCCATTAGCTAGTACATTTGTTAATGCAAATTGTTTCCCACCTTCCCAAATCTCTCATTACATGTCCAGAGATTATTGTTGATTTAGATACTGAAAGAGAGCCCCTCAGAGAACATACACTTCAGAGAAAAGTTTATAGATCCCGAATTGTTCAGAATAGCTCCCTTGAAATAATAAAGATTGACAATTAATGTACAGAATGGAAACAGGCCACTCGGCTCAACCATTCCATGCCGGTGTTTATGCTCCACTCGATTCTTCACCCATTCCATTACTCCCTCCAAACTCTTCTATTCCCCTCTCCCTCATGTAAAGGTTTCCTTTTGAATGCAACTATATTAGCTGATTCAATCATTGCTTCAGACAGCAGGTTCCACGATTTCATTACCCTTTCTTTATGATACCCTCGTTGCTATCTTGCATTTGTGTCTCCTGTTTATGGACTCTCCAACCAGTGGAAACAACCTATTGATGTTAACAATGCAGGCTCGTTTGGGATTTGAAACCGGGACCTCTCGTATTTTTATTTAATTGCCAACACTAAGTGAGAATCAAAGCCCTAGTTCAATGTACCCCAAGTGCAAAAAAAAGGGATTTGAATGCTGGGCTCTTGATGACCTGTCAGTGTTACTTTAAAGATCTGATGCTCTCCTGACTGAACTATCCAGCTTTCATTGTACTTTCCTGTTAGCTTGCTGTCATTCAGGCACATTCAATTCTATTCCAAACAGTGTGATGTTCTGCTGTAATAAACTGATTTTTTTATACTTTCATCCCTATTGTGATGAAGATCTAGTTTGTGGTATCTCCAAACAGCTTTCTTAATACAACATTTCTAAAATGTCAAATGTTCTTGAGAATGAATTATTTAATTTCTAAAACATTGGACTAGTTTGGTAAAAGGCTGCTTTCTTCGGATCACTTGTGTTTGTTTTAGAAAGTTGACAATTACCCATTTCAATGAGAAATACAAAAAAACACAATTTACAAATTTCTATGGATTTATTTTGCCTTTTTTTAAAAAAAGCACAGAAATTTACAACCCACAAGCACATTCACCCCCATTGTAGTTGTGAGAGAACAATCATTCAGTCCTATTTACCTGCCTTTTCCCCACACCCCTGCAGAATACTCCTATTTAGATATCTATCTAGTTCCCTCTTGAAGACCAATAAGAATCATGCCTTGGCCACCACACTTCATAGGATATTCCACATCCTAACAACTCTCTGTGTAA